TTTGGATTATTTTAAATTTATATCTCAACAATATTGTACAGAAAAGAAAAAGAGTATTTTCAATATTTTACTGCAAGGAAAGAAGAAAACAAGGAAGAAACAGTATAAACCATATTTAGAACTAGAAAAAGTACACTAAACTCTTTGAATGGTGGTCTAACGAAAAGGGTCCACCACCATTATTTCACGTAGTCTCTCGGGAACATTTATGCCTATTTGGTTGCACAAAAACTTGTTAAGCTTTGGCATCCCTCTTTGATCCACAATCAACTCCGGAATCACATCATCCACAGCTAATCTATAAATTGACAACACTTGAAGCTCTGGAAAGCTGTTTTCTCCTGAGAAATCCATCGGGATTGATTGGTTGTATTCACAATTTAACAATTCAAGGAACTCTAATTTGCGTAGTTCCTTTAGTACCTTCATTGGATCCTCAGTGAATTTCATGAACAAAAGGTTAAGGAAGATAAGGTTTGGAGGGAATTCAATGGTGTCAAGATTGAATGGAAAATCAAATCCAGTTCTCATAGTCAAACTAGCAAGATGGTCATACTGGGACAGGTTTGACCAATTAAACTTCTGAGTGAAGTGCAAATCCAAGTCTTGGAGCTTCTCCGATATGGGTGTTTTACCAGATATGACATTTATATGTTGGTTATTAGTCTCGTATAATGTCAGCTCTCTTAAGTTGGAGAGTTTTTGTAATGAGCTAGCTTTCAAAATGGTACCAGGCATCGCAAATAAAGTTTCTACGTTCGGTAAATACACCTCATTTCTGACATTCAAATTTGTGCATTTGTTAGACTCAAACGTTTTATCATAGCCTAAGATTAAATACTTCAAATGCTTCATCCTGAAAATAGTTGTTGGCAAACCACAATTAAAATGTGCTAGTAGAATATCCAATGTCACCAATTTCTTGAGATTCCTTATGGTTGAAGGCATCCTTTCAAATCTCCCTATCAACATAAGGAAAGTCAACCTACTCAGATCTCCTATCTCATTAGGAATCAAAGTCCGTCCATCTCTTGAGCTAGAGAAACAGAACAAGGTACGAAGTTT